GAAACGTGTCTTTTTGATAAAGTTTATGGTTAGAGCTGGAATCAGGTGACCCCGAATCCCTCCTTCATTGTGCTGCAATAGCCTTAGGCTGCTGGGATGTTTCCCATGATGCACTGTGCATTTCTTCTCTACCCAACTCTCATGTTTATATACCACTATTACAAATGTTTAAAACAGTTTTCGTATTTATTAAGCTCTGTTTTCTCTTCCATAGTGTCCCTTTTGTCCTGTCCTCCTCTGCACTCTTCTTTTTCCCTTCACAGCTAACCGGTCACAGGAGATGGCTCCCAGAGCCATGGGGGTTCTGGGAGGTTTCTTCCTGTGGAAGAGGAGTTTTTCCTTCCCACTTTCACCATGTTTTTTGTTTATAGGGAGTTGCCTGATAGTTTGCGTTTTCTTTCATATATTGTAAGGTCTTTACCCTACAATGTAAGATGCCTTGTGAATTGACACTATTTAAATATAAATTGAACTGAAGTGAAAAATTTAATTAGTATACATTAGGCTACCCATTTACATATAAGCAATTAAAATAATCAACAACTAAAAAAACTAAAGACAATATAATATAATACAATGTACATGATTCTGAAAGGTGGAATTCTATAAGGTATCTTTACTTTTGGCAATTCAGAAGTATTATGATTATACAACTTGTGCACTACTTAAGCTGCTCGAGTACAATTATAAATTTTAGCTAAGTAAAAGTATTTATTCTACTCTGCAAAACAATTACCCAACACAAAATTATATTTAGTCTTGTGCACCACTTTTATAACTGATGTAATAGAACATGTTGTGCAGCCTGAAAATCACACCCAGTGTTTGCTACATGTGTGAAAATTTTCTTATGAAATATTCTGACTTCCTGCAACCACAGCCTTTAAAGAAAATCCAGGTTCATAGCACTATAATCTCTGAATCTCAGTAAAAAGAAAAAAGAAAGAAAGAAAAAAAAGAAAAGAAAAGCAAAGTCCTGTGTCATTTTGGGGCAGCTGCAATAAATGTGAGTCTTTGTTATGAGAAAAACTATACAGAAACAACTTTGATAGGATTTCATCAGTTTGAGGGAACTTGGAAATGACAGAGTTAAAAACGTAATGTTGAAAAAGCTCCAACATTTTGCCAAAATACTGACTTTCTACTCGTGCAACACAACAATATTCTTCTGCTTGGACACGTCTCAGTATTAGGAATACTGTTCACTCAGCTCACTGGTTTCTGTTGTGTGGGAGCCACAGTGAGCTCATTGCAATATTTTTGTCATTAGTGTGCACCCACGACATCCATTCATAGTTATGTAGGTACAAGTGTGGGTGTTTTTGACATAAAATATTTGGAGGAGCAAATTTTTGATCTTCTTTCAAACGGTGCCTACAGACTCTGTCACTCAAAATGAAAAAAATGTCAACAGATTTTCCGTTTTTATTTAATTCTATCATTTGAGCCAATAAAAACATGACTGCCATGTGAAAAAGTATATTCATACCTCAATATTTATCACACCTTTAAATCCATAGACTTAGAACTGTGGGTCCTTCATTTGGTGCCAATGACTACAGGCTTCTTAAAGATTGACAGGTGAAACAAGTCTCATAAAATCTTTGACATAAAAGGGTTGGTGTTCGTTTTGAAACTGAAGTGTGTAGAATCACCGTGGCACTATCGAAAGAGCTTCAGAGAAAAAATGGTAACATATAGTTCTGACAAAGTAATAAAAAAAAAAGTCCAAATGATTTTAAATAGACCGTGCTCTACAATTAAAATAAAGTGGTGTTCACAGTGGTGTTTCCACCCCAGCAAATTCAACCACAAGAGTGGAGTGTTTGATGCAGAAACAAATTTCCAATAACAAGAAAATTCATCACAAGATCAGCAGGTGACTCTTACAACTGTTGGTGTCAATGTGATTTTGGCTACAATCAGAAAGCGACTGCAGAAATGTGACCTGCATGGGAGGTGTGCTTGGAAAAATCCTTTGCTGGCTAAAAATATTATCAGAGACCAGCTACAGTTTGCCAATAAACATATCTGTAAAGACCAGGTCTGTTGGAATAATATGCTCGGGACAGACAAATCAAAGATAGTGTTGTTTGGCTACAGTAACAGCAAACATGTTTGGGCAACAACCAAAGGCAGATTTTTAGGAGAAGAAGCTCAGTTCACTTGTGAAGCATGGCAGTGACTATGTAACAGTCTGGGTTTGTTCCCCTGCCTCAAAGATTGAGGCATGCCTCAAAGATTGAGGCAGGGGCACTTGATTCGTCTGTCTGAATCACAGCAAAGAGTGCTTAAAGATAATGTGAGGCCATCTGTCCAAAAGATGACGTGGAGCCTTCAATGAGACACTAGTGAATCCACCAAAGAATTGCTCAAAAAGAAGAAGAAATGCTGGATTATGTGGCGAGACTAGTGGCCTAGTCAAAGCCCACATTTGACTCCAGCTGAGATGTTGTGGGAGGAATTGGAAATAAGCTTTAAATGCAAGTATACCCCCAAACATTTTGCACGTGACAGAATTTAGCATAGAAGAGCTTTCAAAAATTTTAGAACTGATGTCAGAGTATGTGAAATTATGCGTACCAGTACAAGCAGTTGTTGTTGCCCAAGGAAATAATACTGTGGTTTCTGAGATCTTGTCTTTTCCACTTGAATTCTACACCTATTGTTCCTAATGGTTGCGTTCAAGTGCAACATCTATATCTGAACAGATCAGATTCAGAATTTTTATTTATCTGAGTTTAATCAACTCCATCATCTCCATGTGTTGAGCTTTTTTCTTTCTTTCTTTCTTTCTTTCTTTCTTTCTTTCTTTCTTTCTTTCTTTCTTTTTTGCATTATCAGTCTTGAAGTGTCAACAAAACAAGCTGATTCATACTTTGTTTGTAATTGGTGAAAGTTGGGCTATAAGAAAAGCCTTCTGGTGTAACTAAACATGGTGTGCATTGCTGCATTAACAGTGATAAAACACTTCCCCAGAGAAAGTGTGTCGCTCTGCTCTGCATTTCCCCTATGAGAAGTGCATTTCACACAGTTTGCTGACACCTTCTGTCAAATGACTTCCTGTATGATCTCAAGTGCAAATGTGTGCAACGTCTTTCATCTTTAATTCTCCCAAAATGTGTTTTTGTCTCAGAGCAATGTAAAGTGGTGTGTAAGACAGGGATAATCGAGCCTGTGAAGAAATTGCATTTTGGTAAGAGATCCCCATCTGCCTTTGCACTAAATTTTGGGGGAAATCTCTCAGCGAGCTCATGGTGGAAAGCCCCTGAGAAATCTGCAGTCCCTATCATGCAATCTTAACAATCGCAATTTCTAATTTTTTCTGTGGAAAAGTTACTCACCAACTGACTGCGTACCTGTTAAAAGTTGGGTGGGTTTGAAAATAATGTGAAAAACCTGTGTGTAACTCTGCTAAGGAAACTTTAATGACATCCAGGTCTTTATGGGCAGTTCATAGTATTGGTCATTACAGCTCTGGTACTTTGGTATTACCAAAATCATGTTTTATGTTTCTGTAATGGCTAATCCACCAATATGTGGAAGCTCTTTAACTGAAATGACTATTTTAATGCTCAGCTATAATGTGTTATAAATGAATTTCCACATTGTTTTTTTTTTTATTAGATTGTCAAACTACACTTGTTTACCTGCACTCCTGAACAGAAAAAAAATATTTTTAGTGGCTGAACAATACACGAGATTTGCTCAAATTTGGGGAAAAACAAAAAGTTGAATTCAGTTCAGTAAATTCACTATTTTTGCTTTTGTTTGTTTTAAATGTGGTTTTGACAGATTTGAAAAATATTAGTGTTTTCTGGTTACCACTCGAGTCACAGCATTAAGTCTCTAATGGCAAGTGTATGCCCACTGTGGGTTTTAATCAAGTTGTAAGAGTTAGACCTTTTTACATGGACAAGAGTATTTTGTTTTTTTGTTTTTTGTTTGTTTTTGTTTTGTTTCCCTTAATACGTTTTGTTGAACATAACTTTATTTTGGTGTATGATAAGGTATTCTGCTGAGGTCATTATGGAAACCTGGATACATTTCTTTGATACAGTTCATACATGTTTCTGAAAGGCAAGCAACACGAATGCATATTTGTTTTCATAGCTTCATTCACAGTGATGTGATGTGATCATTCGTGGATATTATACTTAAATGTTTGCCAACAGGAACTGAAGCTTTGTGTTGGTTCTCCTCCCCTGTATGAGAAGGACGCGCACAATGCTACTGAGGAACTGTAAAGCTATGACACCCTCTGCTGGTATACAGTTTAATAAGCAAGCAACAAATTACCAGCTACCAGTGCCATAATTTCTTCATAATTAATTAGGTTCACCAGTTCAAAAATGTCGCGTTTCTTGCTGATTTTCTTTTTATTTAATTTGTCATTTAGTAGTAAAATGATAATAACATGATGTCGCCGAGAAAAGAAAAAAGAAGAAAAAACATACTTGAGCCATCTAACTCCAAAACAGGTCATCAATAATTAGTTTCGGTACACAAACACGTCATCAACAAAAACCACTTGTTTCTATGACTCTCCATAAGTCATCTAAAGGACGCTAAAAATAAACCTTTCTCAATACCAAAGGGAAACTGAACTATGTTGTTGCTGACCTTAACTTTATGACATCCTCTTTAAAGTATGCTTCCTTTCATCACCTTGGAACCACGACCTGCTTTTTCTCGGTGATGTCACGGCTCCGAAATGTACGGACTAGCTGCTTTTCTTTGAAAGCGACACTGTCACGCTGCAGTCTCTGTAAGGTGTAATTTGAGCCGAGGTGCTCAGAGTAAACATGGTTAATTGTCAGGTTAAATCATTTCTGTCTGTGTGAAGTCGGTGATGTGTGGTTTTTGCAGTGTCTGACACCGCTTATTGTGAGATAGGCCATTGCGCAAAACTGTTTGTCACCGGCCACACCTTTTCCACGCCTTCCTAAAAAGTGGTAGTTACAGTTAAGCCGAGCTTAAAGACATAAGCGAGACGCCAGGGGCTATGGACTGCATTGTTCACGGAGCAGCTCGAGTGCCAGACTTTACAGAACCATGTGGTGGACACTATTGTCAGTCATTACTGGAGTGCTTATACTAGTTCTCCGTTTCTCCACTCGCAGAAGGTAAGATAAGTGTTACAACATGTTGATTTTGCAGATAATAAATTAGTACTAAGGCTTGTTTACTGTGTAAATGCATATTTTGCAAATGTTATAGCTTCACCGATTACTTATTTCTTTTGTTTGGCGCATTTAATCCTAATCAAAATTCATTAAAATGAACGAAAAGTAGTTGATATTAGATCACTACTTTAACGCTGTATCACTAATTGAATATTTAGCATTTGGGGTTGCTTTTAACGGCAAAATATAGTGTGATTTATACTGAAGACGACTTGCCAATTGTCTTTTTAACTAAAGAAATCCTCCTTTTGGCATTGCTTAATGCGAATGCAAACCTGTTGTGTCAGATTCATGTAAAGTGAAAGGAAGCAAACGCTAGAGCATTTGCGATATGAATTTGCGTGTATGACAGGCGGAGAAATGAGCCTCCTCTGGACGAAGGTTGGATTCCATGGCTGGGACATGCCATTGAGTTTGGGAAAGATGCTGCAAAGTTTTTGGCCCGGATGAAAGAAAAACATGGAGATATATTCACAGTAAGTTCTGATTAATTATGTCATGAAACGCTGTGTGGCAGGCAGGAGATGAGGACTCAAAGTGCAGGCCTCACAGACTCAGGGGATGAACTCAAAATCACAGCTTTATTTGCTGGTCACAGCAAAACGAGCATACAAAGTGAACTAAGCTAAACTGGGAAACAAAGACCTAAAACTCACAGGGAGAGCCACACAGCAAGAGGGACGACACAACACTGACTCAGAGAAACACAGGGTTTAAATACACTGGGAAGTAACGAGGGGAATGAGACACAGAAGGAGAGCACAGCTGGGAGAAATCAGAACTGAGGAGACAAGGGAGCAAAGTAGGATACACTCACATGAGACACAGACCTTCAAAGTAAAACAGGAAGACGCAAACTAGACTAGGGGAGACAGAGCAACTAAGAAACACAGACAACACCAACAACAAAGAGACACAGAGGGCAGCTACTAAATACTCAGAGAACTAAACAGAATACAAGAAAACCAAACTAAGACACTACACTAAAGAATAAGCTGGGACAACAGAGAGAACTAAGAACATAATACAAAAAACTCAGAGGCACAAGAAACTCAAAACACTGGGTCACTGACCCAGGACCATGACAAATTAATTTAATACTTACTCTTTGAATCCAAAAGCTTGAATGCAGTTTATTTTTTTAATCGTAAAAAATATTATACTGAACATTTCGGGGATAGGTGAGGTGAGCAAACTAACAATCTGTCCTCACAGGTGCGTGTTGCCGGTCTCCGTGTGACAGTGCTGTTGGACCCACACTCATTTGATAGTGTGCTGAATGACAGAGATTCCTTTGATTTTACCCGGCTCAGAAGCCAGGTCATACAAAAGGTGTTCAGTCTGCAGCTGACAAACATCGAGCCTATCTTGGAGAGGAAATGGATGGAACAGTAATAAATATGTCTTTATCGATTTTATAAGTAACAAAATTATATGACTGAAATCAGTGTTGCAAATCTTAATGCTATCTTTAATTTGCATTTCTTAGGCATTTTCAAGGTTGCAGCCTTCCCAAGCTCAGCAGCTCCATGAACACTCACCTTCAGACCCTGCTCCTGCATTGCCACAATGGGTCCGCCCCTTCAGAGTGGAAACAAGAAGGACTTTTTGACCTCTGCTATAGTCTTCTTTTTAGGTAAGGCATAATATTTTAACCTAGAAAAAATACTGCATCTAATATTTTAAAAAGAACATGATAAACATGGTGGTATTCTTATGCTTTTACCTGTGACAAACAAAAAGAGTTTTTACTGTTTTTGTTGTTGTTATCAGGGCTGGATATCTTACATTCTTTGAGAGGACAGACAACGCGGCTGCTGCTTACCAAGAGTTTCGCAAATTTGACAATCTTCTCGCCAAACTGGCTCGTGGCTCACTCAGGCGCGGTAAGTTGCACTGCAGCTTAACAAAAATAAAACAGATGTTCGATGGACATATAAACTAAACTCGCATCTGCGCAGCACCATAATGCAAATGTTTGATGGTTTCATTACAGAAGAACGCAGAACAGTCAGCCACTCGCAGGAGCGACTGTGGGAACTGCTTTCCCCGCACGGGCTGAGGGGAGGGTCAGAGTCAAGCACCTGGCAACAAAGTTACTGTGACTTCCTACAACAGGAGGGGATAGATGCAGATATGCAGAAAAAAGCCCTGCTGTTACAGTTGTGGACCACACAGGTAAGAACTGTTTAATTTTTTGTATTGTTTCCCATTCACCAAGGGCGTAGATTTGGTTTTGGCGTTGGTGGGGACAGATGATTCAACCACTGAACCCTGCCCTGTTTCTTTTTTTTCCTTTTCGTCTTTGCTTCTTGATAAAAAAAAGGAGATATATACTTGCCTACATATGTTATTCTACATGCTTTTAAACCATTTAAAATTACAATTCATAGTTTTATATGTGAATTATATAATGTTAAGTTACTATTAAACAAATGACTGACTAAGTATTTAGCCAGCCATACTTCAGCCATATTTCATATAAATCAGATATCATACAAAAATAAAAAATACCTTAAAATACAGTCATGACAATAAAAGAATATGACTTTAAGGACTTAACAACATCACTTCAGTTATAGTACACCAACATCTCTTATACATTAGCACTAAGGGAACACTGAATGACCTGGTGGTTTTTGTCCATAAAACTACTCATCTAAGATTACCACAAAGTAACAGATCTCTTAGCAAAATTATGCAACATTTTAGGCACTATTGCCCCGATCAGATCAGTGAGCTGGGATGTTTTACTCTAAACATGAACTACTGTTACAGCAACAGACATGGACTACTGGTGTCCCACACAACAACTCAATGTCCACTATGTGAAGGAGCCAAACACATGCCTTCTCCTCTTGTTAACTGAGATAAACTGCTGGCATATTTGTTTTACATCTATACTGTAAAAGTCTCTCATGGTGGACATGGTAACATATTATTCATTGTTACATACAATTTTAGACTGATGTGGGCCAAAGCCTAAAACGATGTGCCGGGAGTTTGCTGTTCTCCCAGGTTCAGATATTTGAAGTTTGCACAGCTACATTCTCGCCTGAAAATTTTTTAAAAGTTTATTTTGCAACCCAGAAAGAGTAATGAGAGGGGCATGTATTGTCTTGCATAGCCTGTAACGTTATTATGATGGACAGATTTTATGAGTGAACTTGACTTTAAGTGACTTACAGGTTTCTTTGAAAAATACTTTCTTATATCCAAGTTCTTTTTGCTGCCATCCTCCTCCTTGCAGGTCCTCGCAACGCAGGATTGCCGCTGCTAAAACTAAACAGAGCTCCCTGAAAGGC